TCAATATTAGCAACATATGGAACTGAAAAACCTGCAACTGCTTCTGTAGCATCATACTCAACTACTCAACTTCCATGCAGCGATCTCCGAAAGAATGGCTAGTAAATCACTCCGAAGCCTCGCTGTTGTGATATCACATCCCTGTGAAGAAGTAGCAAAGCTAGCAGGAAGCGCACGTTGCTGAATCATGAAATATCTTACCTACACACACGCATACAAACACGTCGATGCTCAAGACACATGCTTCCCGTGGCAAGCCTAGATGTTCACCTGCAATGAATCCACGGACCCACTCCACGACATCCCACGACGATGAAGGATCGGCTAAGATTTGGGTTTGATCACTGAGCACATTCCGAAGTCGTGGCGTGGTTTTGCCAGACTCGCACACAGAGATCCAGGTGGGGAAGTCGGCACGGTGAAAATTTCTGTGGTACCGACCGCCACCACGTTAGGACAAGTATGAAGCGATATACACGCCCCCTTCCTGGAAATCCAGGCCTGATACATTCGTAATGTCCCGGAATGCTCTCTCATAGAAAACCGATCGTGGTCTCGACGCTCTTGTTTGCCAACAGGTTCCTGATCATGCAGCTACCTCACCAACGAGTGGATAGACTGCGAACTCAGACTGCTAATACTACCGAATTCCTGTATCAGATAGGAGGTGGCGAAGACAGTCTACTTTGGGGTTGAATTACAAGTTTTCTATGTTCACATGGGAATTGGCTTGGTCGACCGTGATAGTTCACAATGCTTAGAGATGTTACCACTTTCCTTCAACTTATTCCAGCATTAGCTCAGTTACGGACCGCCCATTAATAAACTGAATTCTACCATGAGTTCACTCTGGAAGTTCGACAGACCATGATTGAACACAAACCAAAACATCTAGAAACTGGCTGTCGAAGCATGGCGGAAGACGAAGCACATCCCTCACACCCAACGTCGCAATCGAGATATTCAAAGGATTTGTCTACATTGGCATGTTATTGAGTCCTTAGATTCAATACACTGGTCATTCTTCATGTGTATAATATTAAGCCGAGGAATATGAAACACAGCAACATCACGCCTGAGAGAAGCACACTTCCTGGTGGTTCTCCATCTTTATTAAAGTAGGTACTACATCAACTGTCCCGCTGTGAAGACCGGTGCACCTGGTGGGTGAATCACACTTCATCACTTCGATGGTAGAGTTACAGAAATGTATAAAATCAGAGCTACCACGCAATCACAACCATGGTTATACAGTTACACGTGGTAATACTTCGCTATTATCGAAGCCCCCAACAAATCTTGGCATGTGAGAGCGAGGCATCCTTGAGGCTGATTCCGATACGAACTAGCACAATTCTCGTCAATTTTGCAAAACTCTCCACGATCAACCTGTGTTACAGAACTGATCACATTCAATCTGCATGAGAAACTACAATACAGTGGAGCTTGTAGGAGAAACTAGAACCTGCCATAACGTGGGATGGATTCCTTCCAATGCATCGAGAAGTTTGATCGTGACGGAGCTTGAGACACACAACCTGGCACGTATTCTTACAACATCGACACAAGACAAAGTCAGTGTTGGCACGATTCACGGAATAACAACATACAGATCATAAGATACACAGCAATACTATACGATTAAGCTAGCAGTTTACCTCCCGGATCAGGTCACTATTCCAGCCCTGCTTCTGCTAGTGAAATCCAACGTCTTCCAGAGTCCAGCTTGAGAGAAACTCAACATTGAAATAGAAACTGAGACATAATCCGGTCACTGCATCGCTTCAACGGTATCAGTGAGAGAGAGGGCAAGTCCAATAATTTGCAAGCTGAATGAGGGACGCGGCGACCTGGATCGATCCAGCCCCCGACACTGTTGATGTTGTCAACATAGACCCCCTTTGTTCCGTAGCATTGCAAAAGTGCAATGAATTGACTTGTCGTTTAGACCATCCAGAGTGACTGTTCTCAAAGACGTCGACGTCTCATCAGGTAAGTGTCCAGATAGATTACGGTCGCCGCTGCATTACAAAGTGGGACCTGTCGTCCCCACAAAACAGATCCAGAGTGATGTTGCATGTGTGGATCCTGCTTCAATCTGCAATGCCGCGGTGGTCTCGGTCCGGTCACCGAGATCTCTGATGTTACACCTTAACCCAGTCTTTCATGTAAACCTTGCACCGTTTTCGAAGATAGCCATGCAATCGTTCGTTGGGAACACATCGTCGACACAGCGCATTCCTTGCAGCCCATCGCCTCCAAGTGCTGAGGCTATTTGTTTTGTTTTGTTTTTTTTTTGATGTTGTTTTTGTGCTTTTATGTGATGTTTTCTGGAGCACATCGAAGAGGATCCGTTGCAAAATTGCGTTGATCTTACAGCTCGAGTAACTCCTGGGGTCAGCGTTGTAGCTGGACTTCAGACTCAGGGGAAGGATATTCCATTCGGATTGAAGTTCTATTGTAGGGTAGTAAGTTTTGTGGTTAGGCTTATCAGATTTGGCTAATAGGCTTGATTGAGTAGATTCTGTGTTGCATTTTGGTTTGTTGCACGTTTAATTCCATTCTTTTCTATTTTAGAAATGAGATTTTTTCAGATTTTGTGTTTTTATTTTTCGGATCCTATTTCTTTTGGTAGAACATCATCTCATTTGTGCCAGTCCATGTTGCCGAAGGATCAATCCTCAGAGAAAGAGCAAGCAGTATTAAAATTGTTGGAGGTAATAAGGTGGAATCTCATTGAACTTGGTGGTATCTTATTGAATATTTAGAAAAGATGTTCCAGCATTGCAAGCATTAAAGTTCCAGCATTAGGGTTTTATAATTATTAGTAGTTTAATGTATCATGTTCACATGTATTTGGTTCAGATGTTGTCAAGGAATAGTCGGATTGGATGTCTCTTGTTAGTTGCTAGTAGAGGCAAATATAATCAATGTTTGAGATCTTTCTGGTTCATTTGTTACTGGTTGCTTTAATTTATGTTATATTTACCATAAAAGATTTTTTTTATTTTTATTTATTTATTTAATATTATCTTTAAAATTCACATCATTTTTTTTTCAATAATTAGAATGCAAACTTTTTTATTTTATTGATTTTTTTTCCATTTTTATCGTTTTTTTTTTTTTTTTTTTTTTTTGTAGGAATAAGTTTCTTGTCTTATTTAGTATTATATTATAGAAATAGTTTGTTTCTAGTCTATTCATTATATGCAAAATTAATAGTGTTTATTTGTGTTTAATCCTAAAAAAAAATCCAGTATTGAAAATTTTTTTACTTATAAAGTAATTAGATTATCTTAGTTAACTTGAAACCTTTTTTTAACAAGATATAAATAAAATATTAATCATAATTTTTGTTACAAAATTATGCCAGATAATTAGGATAATATAATTTTATTTTTATCAAGATATTATCTATTTGTATTTTCTTCAAGAATCATAAATTATTTATTTAAAATAAATTATATTTAGATTTAATTTTTTAATATAAATTTTAATATAATATATATATATATATATATATATTAAAGATATTTTTATTAGTTTCTATAAGCTACAAGAATGATCATATTTAATTTTTTTGGAAATGCAATTATATGTAAAAATTGACTTATTAAAATTTTCAAATCAAAGTATAATTATATGTCATTAATTAGCTAATTAAAAGATTTAAAAGTTGTTGTCTCTCACATTGTCTTTTAAGTATTAAGACCTCTTTAGATTTAATTGATCTTCTTATTGATATTTTTATTTTATTTGATTTTTTTGATATCTTAAGATATACAAATTTTGTTTCTTAGATGTTTCTTATATACTTTAAGAAACCAATAAATTCTTAACAAAAAGTCACATTTAAGTAGTACCTCAAGCAAAAATAATAGTATAATTGCATACACAAAAAGATCTCTTTGTTAAGTATTTTTTAAAATTAATAAATTTAAGTGGGTTAAATTTTATATTACAAAGTAGATTTTTTTTGCTAGTATATTAAATTTTATATTACAAAGTAATTAAATTTTATATTACAAAGTAAATTTTTATACTATATTAATTATTATAAAATAAGGTTTTTCAAGAAGAACTGCATCTAAATTTATTTCTTCTAAACATAATATTTCTACATAAATTTGTTGATTTAGATTGAGGCATGTTAATCACAAAATTGATACTAAATTAGATAACAACACTATGATGTTTTGGAATAGGGGCCTAAATCTTGTGAGATGCAAGATTAAAATTTGAAGCATGCTGAATCTATGTAAATATTAGGCATTATTAGCACTATTCGACACTATCATATTAAGTTGTATGTATAACATTGTAATTTCTTTTTAATATGCAGCAAAAATTAATAAAATACAATAAAATTTATTACATAGTTCATGTAATACTTTGACAAAAAATGGTAACTTGTTTTGCAAGTAAAACATTTATTTCTAAGCATCATGTATGTTTATTCATATCTCAAAATAACATGTAAAATCTAATAGATAATTCTAATTAGTTAGTTAGTGGCTGTAAATAAATATCATTGATAATAAGTAAATAATAAATTTAATGTAACAATTTCAATGGACTTTTTCAAAAATTATTCTTAATCCTAATATATTCTTAATTCAAAAATCATAAAAACCAATATAAATTATATTTATTTATATATTTAGTTTTTAATATTATGCTGATCATATTGGTGAACCTTATCACACAAACTTCAACAATAATTATCACTGTTGCTACTTTAGGGAACCATCTTACAATAAATACAAGCAATTTACACATTCCTAGTGCTTTTTTAATAAAATTCTTGCGTGACACTCAGCAACAAAAATATTTGACATTTTTAACATTTTTTATTTGCAAAACTATAAGTGCATGTAGGATCACAAATCATATAAAAGAATTCATAGCCATCTGGTTTTCATATACCTACAATGCAGCCGCAACTGCTGCCACTGCTACCACAGGCGCCGTAACTGCTCCCACTGCAAGACCACCAAGAACTATATTTTCCATCGATTTTTTGCCTCTTTCTGCTGTGTCTTAGCCTGGGAGATGGAGAGTCTGATTTGATTTTCAAATGACTCCCACTTGGACTTGAACTGTAACGGAGTGATCAGTGTATCGCTATCAGAGACATTGCACCAGCGTCCAATTGTGGAGAGCTTAAGCATCGCTTCTTCCCGCCTCTGTTGAGGGGTTTGGGTCCCCTTAAAAAATGTCTTGACTTTTCCGAGAAAATTCTCGGGTTCGACCACCAAAGGGCTCAGGGAGTCAACATCAACGCAATCTTTGTCTTCGACAATCTCATTGTCAACTCCGGCATCATTCTCGTTCCATCTGGAAGCAACCAACACTTTAAGGATCCCCAAAGATTCAGACTTCGCCTTGCGAACGATAGTATCGATGTCATGTTTCCAGACCCATTGTCTTGTGTGATTATATTCATCGAAATTGAAACTCTGAAGGAACCTATCCATCATCCGATCAAGTACACCGCCTGCTGCTGCCTTGAGCTCGTCGTTCATGGTATCTAGTCCATGCTTTGCCAATGATTCTCGCGCCCCGTTCATCTCTTCTTCCGTAGGATCGAAGTAACGTCTGAAACCTTTCTTCCAGGCATCTTCAGCTTTCGAGATTTCGCGTTTGGACAGGTGACGAAGCTTACACCATATTTCTTTAGCAGGTTTAGATTTCCCCGCCTAAGCTAGAATAGCAAGTGTGTGTTCTGAAAGGACATTTTCCAGACGCTTCTTGACTGCAGATGTCACTTCTTTAAGTTTCGCAGTTCGCATCTCCTTCACATGGGCGTTGAGTTTTTCGGACAACTTCTTCTTTGACTCCTCGATAGATCCGGCTGCTTCCTTTGATGCCCTGATGGATCCAACTTCCTCGAATGCATTCCATTCCATGTGCGGGACTTTTGCATCTAGGAACAACCAAAATTAAGTCACCGTCAGACTCGCAGTGCGAATCTACAAACCTCATCAATTTACAAAAAGTCTCTGTATGATACTCTTGCTCTACTGCAACTCAGATCGTGCAGCATCCTGAAAACCTGGACTCTTCAGGGTGCTGCACCATCAACTGTGAGAAAACGAGATCAAGTTGGTCATTTTCTAGCCTGACAGAAAGCAAAAGCAAAAGATTGTTATCGAGAACACAAGTGACATCAATCGAAGGGGGGATCTTCAACGCTCACCTTCACATTCACGATGGAACGAATCCAACGCTGCTCTGCACAAATTGGTCAAATCCTGCTCTGTATGATACGTTTCAATACAAGAATCAAATTTCGACTGGAATGTCTCCCAGGCTTGATCTCGGCGATGCTTGATCTGATCAGAGTAAGCATGCTGAATACGATTCCACATATCAGATGTCAACGAGTTCTGCTTAGTTTTCCGAATCTTTTCGTCAAAATTTCGGGACTCGGCGCTGTACTCGTCCAAGAGCTTCCCGACTACAGCATCTGTACGCTTTCCAAATTCTTCCACAATACCGTTTTGCGCCTCCTGCTCCAAAGATTGCCACGTACTGTCCGACGACAGACTTTGGAGCTTCTCCTTCGCAATCTGGTCACATCTGTAGGTGGCCACCATGATCTTGTGTGTGGGCAGGTCTAGATCCTTCTCCTCTGCGATCTTGAACCAAATCTTCTCGATATTGAACGGGAACGATGTTATATGCACAGCACAACTGCGATCAGCTGCCAGTCCTCCCTTTTCAGTCGAATTCTGGAAACCCTTCCTGAGCTCCGCAACCTCCTCCATGAACTCCTCTCTCCGATCTTCGTAATTTGGCAGAGATGTCACACGCACGTTGAAGTAGGCGCTCAAAGGACTTTGCTTGTGTTCCTCAGGCTTGGGCACCATGTCCCACAGCATTTGGAGGCTTTGGCGCAAGTCTGAGTCCACTATCTCCATCGGCACCTTGCGCGACTTGTCACGGATCACGAACATAAGCGTCGTCTTTCGTTCTGGTAAAAGGCGCAGCATCACCTCGAAAATGGCCTTCAGCAGCGGCCTGCTGGCCGGGTTCTCGCGGCCGAGGTCATGGTGCCACATGTTAATGATCACAATGTCGCACACGGCAATCGCATAAAGCGCGCTTTGCCTCTCAAACTTCGTGTCATCCTCCCCCCTCTCGGCTCCGTCTGAGCCCTCCATGTCCATAACCAGGGTGTCGGGCGTCATTCCCACCGCCTTCGCCAGCCACACTCCCTGCGTCGTCTGTCTCCGCCCTTTCGCCGCGTTCATCTCAACGAAGTCGGTGTTGAACAGGTGATTCAGCAACGTGCTCTTCCCGCTGCTCTGCGGCCCCATGATCGCCACCACCGCGTACCTCAACCCGCAGTTCTCCAACTTACTACTCCGAACAAATTCCTTCAGTCCGTTCGCATTGAATTCCCCATTCCCCTTCACCAGCTGCAGTGGGGACGCCATCGCAGAGCAAACGCAAAACAAAGTTTTTTCTGGTTTCGACTGGAATGAGCATCATCCTCCGCATGTATATCACAAACCCACCGATCAAGTTCGAGCCGGGTCAATCTTCGATCCTAAGCTGAAGACGAGAACTGTCAGAAAAATACAACCAACGAGGAAACATATGCTAAGCGTCAATGACGCAGTTGAGGAAGCAAATAATGGTAACCGAGTGGACTATGGCATAAGCTGTTGACATCCACATTAAATAATTTCAAATGACAATGTATCCAATTACATTGAATATAAGAAAATGTTAAAATGATTGATATATATATATATATATATATATATACACTAAATTGAGTCACCTTTTCACAACCATGATTAGAAAAATTGATCATCTCAAGAAACCATTATTACAATCATGGTCCTCATCTTAATTTCCGTCATTCATTGTCCACACTCATTTGTTCCAAACCTTCTTCATCCAACCCCCTTGTTCTCCTCCCCTTCATCCTTGACCCCCTTGTTTCCAGCTCTCATCCCAACTTGCCTCATTCTCTACCATGGAGTAGGTCGATTTAATAAATGGGTGGGTCATTTTAATATTTTCCTAAATATAATATACTAACTGATAAGTATGATAAGTCAAGAATATATAAGAACATCTATATTCATTATTAAGGACAATGTGTATAAACTAATATACTATTGAAGATTTTTTATAAGGATTATTAGAATAGGTCATAATGGTTTTTTTATACTAATGAAATTCAAATTCAAATTTAAAGAATGTAGAAAGCATGTAAGAAAATACTTAGAAATAGTATGGTGTTAAAAACATAATATAAGATGCTTACTTCAATGTTGTTCTAAATTTTCATATAGATCTAAATAATATTTTATCATTATTTTTTATTTTTTAAACTCTCAATTTTATTAAGAATGATTAATTATCATCAATTATTCTTACTATTTTTATTTGAAATTATTTAATGTGGAAGTCAAGAGCTTTAAGAAATAAATTTTTATTTATAAAAGTAAGTAAAATTAAATAAATTTTAAAAATATAATTTTTATTTAATTTAATTTTTTTTACACACACCATCTTTTTCACACATATATATATATACAAGAAAACGTTAAAATAATCCACTCTATTGTGGAGAATGAAAGGGGTTGGAATGAAAATTGGGAAGGAAAGAAGACAGAAGATTGGAATATAGAAGGTTGGAAAAGGAGCATGGATTAGAAACAAGGAAGGTAGAGATGAGGGCCTTGATTGTAATATTTGTTTCAAGAGATGATTAATTTTTTTAATGATGGTTATGATAGGATGGATATATTTAATAAATAGATGTATTATTTTAACACTTTTTATATATATTACATAATACTTTTAATATTACATAATCATAGAATTTTCTAAATTTTTTTCAATTTTTTTAATTAAATTTATAACATAAGAATTAAATGTGGTATTTTAATTTTATAATTGTATATTATTTTTGTAAGAGAACTTAATATTTTAATAGAATACTATAGGTAAATAAATCTTTTTAATTTTTTATTAAATTAAATAAATTTTAAATGAATATAAGTCTCTTATAAAAATATACAAACAAAATATATTTTTTAAAAAAATATAAATTTATTAAATCATATTTTTTTCCAGTTTTTATTTAATTTATAATTATTCATCTAAAAAATTGTTACATAAAGTAAGAGTCTTATATTTTAAAAATTAATATATATATATATATATATATATATATATATATAATCTTTTTAAAAGCTTCATAGACATGGATTTGACTTTCTACTTGTCTTTAGATGATTGGTACATTGAAAACTTGGTTAACAAGATAACCATGAGTAACACATATAAGAAACTTATCTTGCAAGTGTATCACAGGTTATACAAGTTGAACAGATATTAGAGATTCTATAAAATGTTGCCACATAGCTTGTAATTAGATAGTACATGTAGAAGCAAGAGTGAAGCCTTCTTCACTCTTATCAATTTCTTTTTTGCTTCTATTCTAGTTTCAAGAATCTATATAAAAAAAAAAACATGGTATAATTTGTGTTGCAACAATAAGTTTTGCATCTTGCATCAAAAAAATTATTTAATAATATTATATGATTTATAATTTTGACAACTTGTAATTGATATTTAGTGGAATAATATTACATTTATCAATCAATTTTTCTATAGATTATAATATGAGGTAAAAACAATTGATGTTGAATTTATTTGATTCTTAAATATTCAGTCAAACAATTGATTTTATTATGAAATGTGATAGTTGGCTTTTAAAATTTTAATCTAGAAGCTATATAAGTTGATTTGAATTTTTTTACAATTTAATGCCAGCACCAATATTTTCTTAGTACTTATTTATAAATAGAAGATATGCAAATTGATGTGGTGCATATTTAATATGTTATTAAGAAAAAAAATAAAAAAATAAAAAATAAAGTACCATTGTCAAAAAAGTTTATGCTTGTATTATAGAAAATCTAATTTATATCAATTATACTTATTGGATAAATAAAGATCTATACAAAAATATATTTATTAAGAGCATACAGTCTAATATGAATTAAAGAAGGTAGTGAATGCAAGACAATATTTTGAACTAGATATGGATTTTGATTCATATTCTTGACAATTTGATAAGAGTGTTAATTTATTGTTCTTATTATGTTTTAGAAGTGAGTGGATTATTCTACTTCTATTGTTGTATTTTGAAGGTTGGAAACTACTTACTTTTAAATAGATAATTTAGTTTTTTACCATGATTTTTTTCTTAAAGAAAGAAAATCACCTCTCTTTGTAGAAATTTTCATTTGACATTAGAAGTAGTAGATTATACTCTTCTAATTTTATTTGTGGATTTATTAAGTTTTTGCAATAGAAAGAAAAATCATAAATGCTACACACATAGAAGTGAAAATAAATTTGTAACTATCATAGATCTTCATAAGTTTATTGACACTCTTAATGTAGAAATTTTATATATTTCACGAATATCAACTATGGAAGTACAATTCCTACACCTATGAAAGAAGTCCAAAGTCTATGCTAAGAAGTTGTGCAATTGAAATAAACAAGTAGATTGGCCTTATAACCAAATTGAAGAAGTATTGCTTCTATAAGTATAAGAGAGACAAGGATTAATATATTTTAGAAGTTTGATAGAACAAGATTAAAATTTTGAGGATTTCTACAACAAGTCAAGTTTTATTCGAATTTGCATCTTTTTCGATACCTTCCTAGATTTACTCAAGTTGGATTTAATAGTGCACTTCTATCTAGAAGTACTCTCTCTTAGTTTTTACTTTTGAAGGAAAATGATTCACAACTCTTTTATAATTTGAATTTATTCCTAAAAGTATTTATGTCCACATTTAAAGAAAGTGATTAAGAGAGAGTAGCAAAGATAAAGCTCTTATATTTATAAGAAAGATCATAATCAGCTATCATATATGCTACTAAATTCTAAAACCTCACTTGCAAAGTGGACTAGAATGACAAAATTCTTATCAATTAATTTTGATATGGATTAAAAGCTAATGTCCAGATTTATTATTAATAATATCTAAAGCAGATTCTTTAAAATAATTTATTACTCAAGCGATAGCATGCAATATTTGACTATTTAAAAGATGTCAAAAATAAAGATTTGATTAGAGACAAAAAAATCAAATAGTGACTTCAATTCCTAAATTTTCATAAACTTTATTCATTAAGGTTGGAATCAATGCAAATTGATATTGTATATTTTCAATCTCTCACAAAGTAAGAAAAGACTTCGCATTACCAAAAAGGTTTGTACTTATATTATAGAAAAGCTAAGCACATTATTGAATATTATCGAAAGAAGTAATGCAATCACAAAATGAGAAGCATGATTGCAAAAAAAGACAATGTATTGGAAAACAAGTTTTTTTAGCCACAATAGGGACTGTGTAGCTAGAATCATGTGCAATATCTAATAAAGGTCTTATTTTCTTGTTAGATCCTTCACCTTGTTTTACAATAGATGTATGTTGAAGACTTAAAAATGACAAATTCTTTGCATTATTAGATGCAAGAATCTTAGCCTATTTTATAGACAAAGATTTTATCAAAAAATAAGAAATATCTTTAGTTAAGAAAACTAAATCCATACATATAAAAGTCATAGATAGTTGTTTGTTGTCTTTTAGAGATACTATCTATGAAATTATTTCTTTGGATATAAAAATTAAAGATTATAATAGCATAATAATATCTAATATGATAAGATTTTTTTTTTAATTTAATTTTTTTAGGATTATCATGGTTAAAATATAATCTTCAAATAGATTAGATCTTTCATAACCTAAATTTTTTAATATTTTAATTCAAAATCGTATAGTCAAGTAGAAATACGTAAGTCTAGTATATCCAAATTTTTCCTGATATGTGCAAAAGCTTTCATGTATGTTGCAAAAGAAGAATCATCTTTTGTTGTATATGTTATATTTATTTTTAATGATAGAAAGACATCAAGTAGTATTTTTAATTAGTATCAATATTTTTACAATGTTTTTTAAAAAATAATATAAATATTCTCTCAAAGCATCAATCTTATGATTATTTAGTTGATCTACAAGAAAGAACTTAGCCACCATTTAGACCAATCTATAGCTTATTGCAAAATGAGTTGGCTACACTTAAGGAGTATATTAATAAGAACTTAGCTAAAAACTTCATACACGATTTGAAATCTCTAGCAAGAGTTCCTATCTTATTTGTGAAGAAAAAAGATAGATCTCTACAAATGTACATAGACAATCAAGGGCTTAATAAGATCACCATAAAGAACATGTATCTCCTACTTCTAATTTTAGGACTTCTAGGCCAATTCAATTAAGCAAAGATCTATACAAAAATAGATCTACGAGGAGTATACAACTTGGTTTGCATCAAAAAAGAGATGAATAAAAGACTAATTTTTAAATTAGGTATATATATTTTGAATATAATG